GTTTTTGCTGAGTCGAACTTGCTGCCGATTCGCCAATCATCCTGTTGGCTTCTTCAGAGCTTGACTGAAACTGGGTCGCATTTTACTCTGTACCTGCTTATATATTGTTTGAGGGAGGCGGAGCTAAATGAGAGGCATATAAACACCGTCTCTATGACTAGCTCCCATATTGGTGACAGATAAAGACCTGAGTCGCGGTTAAGATTGTTAGGTTTTTTATAGATTCCTATAGACTCTCTGATTTTTCGTTGGTGGAATTTTATGTCCGGTCTCGTGATTGGGTTCGGCAACAGCTGACGAATTTATTTGTCTTAGTCGTAAGGCTCTTTCGTGTTCTTTGAGCCTAGTTGATATTTTGCTCCCGGTCTCTCCAATGTATTCTTTGCCGCATATGCATGAAATTCTGTGAACTCCTGGCATCTCCAATGGAATTTTGTCTTTGTATTTTGCTTATAACGGTCAAATTTTTTATCAAACGTCAGAAACAGCTATTGGTTCTCAACTATCACCAGTCTTCGCGAATATATTTATGGAAGCCTTTGAAAAGAAAGCTCTAGACAGCTTTCATCTAAAACCAAAATTATGAAAACGCTACGTCGATGATACTTTTCTTATTTGACCTCATGATCAAGAAACCCTAGTAGATTTTCTTAGACATTTAAACTCTATACACACGCACACAGACCGATACCTTAATGCATGGTCACATCACCATCCGGCCCAAAAATCATCGGTTATCAACTCTCTTGTTTACAGAGCCGTAAAGCTTTCTCAGCCCGAGTCATTGAACCCAGAATTAAAATCTTTACCCCTGCTCTTCTCTCTAACAATTTCCACATTAAAGATATTAAGCGTTCCATCAAAAAATACGCTTCACCACAACCTTCCAATAGCAATGAGGCCGAAAGCAATCCTATACTTGCCACTGTGTTCCTTTCTTACATTCAAAACACCACTGACCATATCTCAAAAGTTCTGAAGAAGTACAACGTCAAAACCAAATTTACCACTTGTCCAAAAATCTCTTAACATCTTCGGTCCTTCAAGGACAAAATTCCATTTGAGATGCCAGGATTTTACAGCATTTCATACATATGCAGCAAAGAATACATTGGAGAAAAATATCAACTAGGCTCAAAGAACACGAAAGAGCCTTACGACTAAGACAAATAAACTCGCCAGCTGTTGCCGAACACAATTACGAAACCGGACAAAATTTTATTTGATAAAACTAAAATTCTTGCATGTAATAATTTTTTCTACCAACGAAAAATCCGGAGTCCTAATAGTAGAGGATCCGGTTTAAAAACAACACCCCTCATTCTTTTCGGTGATATTTTTTTTTTATAATGAAACTTATTGATTAATCAAATGAGAAATGATTGACAGTCTATATCTTAGCAAGACTATTTTTAATTAAAAATTAATTAATTTCTTTTTTTTTCTTGATTACCGTCAGTATTTTTCTTTATAGGTTTAGTCTCAATCAAAGAAAAAAAGTATATTGAAAATGCCATACAATGTGTGACTACGTTTTTTTAGGCAACAATACACAGACACAATACAACAATACACACGCCTTTCTCTTTCTGGCAAGAGTCTTATGCGCAGCTGTTATTGTACATCCTTCTCTGCCGTACATGAAAAAAGATATAGCGCTCGCATCACATCAAATTATTGAAACTTTAGATCGTGTCAATCATTAGCTTTGCCACGATTCCGAAAGTCAATCATATATCGTTGGGTTCGTAATAAAATTCTGTATATTTACATATTAAATTTTTAAAGAAAAAGAATGAGGGTAAATCACTACACCCGATTACCTGTTTACACCTGGTTGACACGTATTGTTGCCTAAAAAAAGCTAGTCAAACATTGTATGGCATTTTCTATATACTTTTTTTCTTTGATTGAGACTAAATTTATAAAGAAACATACTGACGGTAACCAAGAAAAAAAATGAAATTAATTAATTTTTAATTAAAAATAGTCTTGCTAAGATATAGACGGTCAATCATTTCCGGATCTTAGACTATAACAATCTTAACCGCGACTCAGGTCTTTATCTATCACCAATATGGGAATCAGTCATCCTCATTTAACTCCGCCCCCTCAAACAATATAGAAGCAGGTATAGAGTAAAATGCGAGTCAGTTTCAGTCCACCTCTGAAGAAGCCAACAGGATGATTCCAGGAGGAATCCAGAAGTTTTGTAAAAAGTATTACAGTAACATGTGGAAATTTCTTTGAAAAATTAAAATTAGGCACTATGAAATACACCTAATTATAGGTATGCTCTTTCTAGTCCAGATGCAATTATGAATAATTGCTAATATGTTTATCACTTCCTCAGCTTTCCCAAATGACTTAGTGATGTCAATTATTTTTGTACTTACAGCGAGTATTGAAAAAAGTTTAGCATGAGTTATTCACCTAAGTTTGAACCCTGCTGCTATTTTTTCGTTTTGACTTGCATAATCTATAATAATGTTTAGTATATTCCAAACTGTCGCATAGCAGGTTAAAATTCTGCCTAGGATTTCTGTTTTAAAATAGAATGAGAATGAGGGAGGTTCTGCACTTGATCTTGACATGTTTCAACGTTTTATTCTTGTCTAAATTATTACTGCTTCTTTTCATTTGAATGAATGTCAATGATGTACTTGCCATTTTACTAACATCGTTATTACAGAACATACTCAAGTTTTTACTACTACTAAGAGTATTTATCTATATTTATATGGTTTTATTGGTTAATTTGGAAAGTGCACATATGCACTACCTTTAATTATAAGTCCACACCATTTCGAAACAGACTTTAAAAGCTATAGGTATACTCAAAGATTGCCAAGTAAGCTGTGGTGGTACAGAAGTAGCTGCATATGGAATACCTGTATGTCAATAAATAAACAAACCAATTTTTTTAAAAATATAATACGTTAACTGTGGTCAAAATTGGAAATTGAAATTTGTCATTATACTAAGCATAAATGAAGTAACACAAATCAAAAAGGTGGATTAAAATATCAAAAACGGAATATACAAATACATGTCTTGTCTCGATCTTAGAAATTTCGTTTAATTGCGTTTAATTCTGTTTTTAATTTGCAGGTCGATTTTGAAATGGAAATGCTGTGATTTTATATTTTAACTTAAAATTTAATTCTAGACAACAAGAGTTCTTTTTTATTAACTTCACTTAATTTTTACAATATAATAATTTATTTTAACGTTACTTTTGATAAGAACTATTTTTAAATAACAAAATTCTATGTGAATGAGTTTTTTTATAATTAAACAAACATAAAAAGGTTTTAGATAAACACACAAAAGTTACGACAACAAAGTGGTGTGTTCTGATTTCACTGATGGGAGTTTTTAAATCACAACAATCGGACATTTTACGGGAGGAGTATTATATACGTATGTTCTCGAATCCCCACACACAGAAAATGCGACCGCACGAAACCGCCTTTCACATGCGCGGCAGTGAAACATCTAATCCGCATTTCAGTTATATCCATATATTTTCAAGGGGCTCTCTCCTTTAATGGGAAAAGAATTCGAATTTTTAACTTCCCAGGTTCATTGGACACGAACCCTCTCGAGTTTCATTAAAAAATGTGATACGTAGAGCCGTATTATGTATTGCAGAAACGGAGGACTTCGTATCCACCCCAAACAACTCTAAAAGAGGATTTATAAGCACAAATGACTTCATTAAAAGCACAAAAGAATGTATTTAGACAGACGAATCGAAATATCTTTTGTAATGTTATAAAAAACCGTTATCACAGTTTTTTTCATAAACGGAAGAAGATTTATAAAAGAATATAAATGCATTTTTTCGTAAACTGTAAATAAGAAACCGGCAATACTTGACGCAAGAATTAATACGAGGTTATATACCTAGTAAAAACAGAGAGAGTGCTAGCTCCTGAAAAAAAATATCTGGCAGTTTGTAAGGTGTGTTAATTGGGCGCTAAATGTTGAAAATAGCAAAATTCGCGTTTTCTTTTACCTGACGATGAAATATTAAACCCCTTTTTTTGCTATAATTTTGTTTTTACTAAAAGCTGTTCTCTATTAAACTATCATCAAAATTTATTTTTAATATAATAACAAACATTTCCAGATGTTGAAAATGCGCATTTTGCATTGGAATCTGATGCAAATGCAATTCTCTATTAATTATGCTAAATGCGGTTAACGCCAATTTCATTTGTTTTAAAAGTTACGTAGTGCACCCGCAGAAGAATTAAATTCAAAAAGAACGGATTAAAGATGTATTTTCCCTTCTTCCTAGGCTAAACAAATAGGCACCATAAATCATAAAATCTCCTTTTTCGTTGATAATTTGAAATCACTCGTCAATCTTTGAAAATAATATTTGAGCAATCAATTAATAATTATTATGTAAAATCTTTACACTATGGGTACATTCGCAGCACAGTATAAGAAACCCGTTATATAGTGTATTGCAAGATTTTGCTGCTTTCAGAAATCAAAATTGCTGCTGACAGACCAGCAATTCTACAGTTTTCAGTTTGGATCTCTCATTTTATCAGTCGTATTATGTCAAAATATACTTAGATCGGTACATTTACAATAAAAAAAACGAATTGCGTGTGCGAAGATCGACATTTAGAAAGAAAATGGTCAAATGCGCATAAATTTTTACCAATGCCATATTTTTTTTAACTTTTTTCGCAAATTTTCAATCCAGACATTAAGGAACTGATCTCAATATATTCCCCTTAAAAATAATATTGATTATAATATATCGTTGTCAATTTCATTCAATTGAAACAGTATATTTATGACCAACATTTTGTACATTCACAGATAGTTGTTTGCACACAACTTTAAACTTTAAAACGCAAACTAACTTTACAATACAATTGTTAAGACATATGTAGGTATAAATTGTTCAAGCAGCGAATTGAATTCTGCACAAGATCGAACTTGGTTTTTGATGATGTTTTGTTGGATATTTTCAGACCAGGCTGAGCCGACGATATAGAATAAAATCGGGAGTGCCTACTTTGGTGCTCTTGGACAAAGAGGGCGCTACCGTCAGCGTGTCGGCACAGGAAAAACTTCTAGAAGATCCCAACGGTACCAACTTTCCTTGGAGGCCTCGGCCCGTGGACGAAGTGAGTAGACATTCAATGGCGGCTCTATGACTTAGCTATTGAGTTATTATCGGTTGCAGGTACTGAAAGAGGTAGTACTGCAACCTGGAGGTCGATATTTTGAAGACCACCAGAATATACAGAACGAGTTGAGGTACAGGGATTTGTCGGATGGAGTGAGGGGCTTCTATTTTTCTGCTCACTGGGTAAAAACTCGATCAAATTCAAATACTGAATATCTATGAAAAAGTAATTTCAGTGTCCGCCGTGTAGAGCTTTTACCCCACAGCTGGCCGATGCGTACAAAATCGTAAGGAAACGAGAACCCCATTTTGAAATCATCTTCGTCTCGAGTGACAGGTAAGTTAGGTTTTGGCTTTAAGAGTAACTAACTTTGATTTTATGTTTACGAATAATTGGGGGTTTTGTGTATCAAGTGGGGAGTCTTTTTTTTTCTGTCTTTGTTTTATGTACACTGTGTCTCATTTTATGACGTTTAGTTTTTTTTTAATAAGTTTTTTGTTTATAATTTAACACCCTATATCTTATAGGCCAAAGCTTCTCAAAAATGTATAACATTATTCGTATAAATGACTTCACAAAAATGTTTTTTTTTAATTTTCATGAAGCTATTTGCAGTAGGCCTTGGAAAAAGGATTTATTTTAATTGGATACGTACTAATGGGCCTAATAGGTGGCCTGAGGGGTCCCCCGATTTAAAAGTGTTAAAAAAATTTTGTGGCCACATTTAAAAAGTAAAATAAATATCAATCGCCAAAATAATATCGGAGAGCTCCGGGTAGCCATTAAAGAAGCTTTTGAAAGTTTGCGAATACAATCCGAAAGCTTTGGGAATGATTGAAACTGTGTGTGTGTTTTGCGTTAGAGAAAATGGTCTAGATTTTGAAAATAATTATGTTCAGATTTGCAAAAAATGTTAATATTTTTTAATTTTTATGTTCCTTATCCTTATTATTTTTTCGGTTTACATTTTTTAATAATATATAGGTCGTAAAGCTATGTGAAATGTTACAAATAAAATGTTAATATTAAACTAAGTTGACTTCATGCAAATTATAAAAGTTATTGTGTAAGTATTGTCAGGAATAAATAACGTAACTATTTTAGATATTAACAAGGCTCTATTTACACTAACAACGAACATACCCCTCAATCGTAACCTAAATGGACACAGTGTACATATTTTAATAGACCTAATTATTTGAAACGTAACGGAAACATTTGGATAAAAGGCTACCCCTATGGTATTCCAGTATTGATGTAACATAAAATTAATTGTTGTTAGGCAAATAGCAATGATCTTTCTATCAGGATTTTTTTATGTAAAGAGATCGTATTCAAGCTTTGGAAATTAGTACCTTGCTTCCTGAAGACATTTTTGTTGCTGTTCGTAGATCTTAGCCAAATTAAAATACCTTTTCCTTGTTTTATTTTGTCTATAAATGTTACCTACAGGTTTCGATTCTTTTCAGTTGTATTTCTTCTTTAAATTTCTTGGTCATAAATCTCCAATGTTTTTTTTTTCAAATTGGTGGCTCGTTATTTATAATTACAAGTGTGGTACAACAGTACAACCTTTAAAAATCATAATTGATATATCCATTCCAACTACCTAGGCAGCGGATTAGTTTTGGTTAGTGAAAATTGAAATGTTTCTAAAAAAAACGCATCTGCTGCAAAAGCAACAATAATGACTTTGACGAATGAAAGTGAAATAAAACTGCACCCCTTTACACCGGGGTTTAAAAGTTAAGTAAAAAAAATACTTCGCTGTCTTTAACCTGGATATTATTAACGCAATACTCACTTTTTTTCAAAGAAACTTCCGCAGGCTGCGGATCCTTTTGGATTTCTTCAGGAAGACTGTACCTCATCAAAATCTAGAATATCAATCAATCAATAACAAAATTAACATTCCCTCTGAAAATGAAAGAACATCTTCTATTAAATTTTTTCAATATTTTCAAAAATAACCTCATTATAATTTAATATTTTTTATTAAAAAAAAAAACAGTTTTCGTAAATTGATGTATTTATTATTTTTGACCCACAAACTACACCCAGGATCAAAATTTGCCAAAATTTTAGTGGAAAAGCTGTAATTTCGGCCGATTTAGAACCATTAATGGCGACGTGTTGGTCAGGCCGTTTGGTCGTGGTTTAATAACAGGCTTATTCTGAAATTGAATACTCACAGGGATTTTCTCCTAATGATATTACGAAAAGGCGAAAGTCATCGCCCTATGTAAATTTCGCACTTGAATACAAACAAGAGGTGTTATATATCCCGTAATTAAATTAGGGTAGGGTGTTTTGCTTGGTCATTTACCCTCGGTTTTGCGGAGGGGAACGTGCGGGACAGTTCAACCCTCGTCGGTGTTTCGCGTACGTGCCGAAGCGGTTAGAAATAAATATTTTTCGGAGAAAAAACCTGCAAGATCCTTTTATAATAGTTATAACACTTTCTGTGTTTTTCCGCGTTTTTTAATCCGTCAAGTATTTATTTTTGCGCGAATACGTGAAAAAAATTAATAAATGTCAAATTTTTACCAGTCGATGATTTTTAAACGAAACACTCTGCATATGATTTTATGCTCTTGAAAACCTTTTATCTTTTTGTTGGTCCATATATTAGGCAAGCCGTAACATCTAGAGTCGGTAGTGTATCAACACGGGAGTTGGTATAAAAAGAAAACGAGAACGTTTTCAATTATTTTTCACTTTCAAGTCACTTCAGTTTCACCGGAGATGACTCCAATTTCAAAATTTTACACTCTGTATTTTATTTTTTTTATCAATATCTAATTATATTTATTATATCTTACTTTTCAATCAGAATGGGACATTTTTTAGGCCTACTTAGTTTTTTCGGAGTCACTTTTAATTTGCTCTGTTTAAGTAAATGATTATAAAAAATAAAATAAATAAATGATGATTCTTGCGTCCAATTTTTCGTATACTTTCCGAAAAGAGGATTTTTACCGAATATTAATACTTATATTTATGCCATACTAATATACATATAAAAATTACCAAGTAAAATACTGAATAATCTGAATCATAATATTCCCCAATCTGAGCCAGAATCATCTCAGATATCCAAAATGTAAAAATATAGAGAAAATCGCCCTAACGATAGGTTTTTGATAGAAAAATCACCACCAAATAGTGAAGCTATTTAAAGAACAAATTTAGAAGAATCTCACTCTAGATGAAACCATTTATATCAAATATCTAAGAATTACCGATATTTTCTTATAAAAACCAGAATTGAAGACTAAAATGCATTTTTTGTTCAACGCCTTGAAAATTAATGAAAATTTTCAATCTTCCCTAGTGGCTAACTGTTATATTTTAAGACTATTATTTATTTTTTACCCAAATCTGGAACTCATATATTTCCAAACATGGTCAAAGAAGTATATATATTTGAAAAATTAAATAAAAAAAAAACATGATAATGGAACAAGATTCAGTGTTTTTCATTTTAAAAAATACAATCTGTGAAAATTTTATGTTTACAAGTGCTATTATTATATTATATTCGTCCAATAAGTTTTAGTTACAGTTTACACAGTTTACACAGTTACGTAGGGGCTAACAATATCGGAAGAAACCTTGGGGAAATTCCTACAGTCAAGAACTCTGCTCTGCAAAATGTTCAGAAATACGTTGGAATTTCTCTGAAACTCCTTATCATTGTACAGTAAGTCTCATTTTTGATGGTTTAATGGCGTATCTCTTATTAACAATGCTGCGCGTATTGGGGCTTTTGGTTACTTTTACATGGAATGAAATATGGCACAAACAGAATTGTTATAGCCATCTTGGATTTTTAGATACATGGTGAATTTGGAAAAGTTGAACTTTTTGAAACTGATTTGAAGAGGCTTTTTTATGTAGGATCCAGTGGCGTAGTTAGTTTTCTTCTGAAGACCACAAATTTTGATATAAAATTAAACTCGTGTTTTTTTTTTATGGAACGTCTCCTAATAATTTTATTACGCTTATTGCTGTTTATTAGGCATAATTTCTTTTTTCTTAATATACCTTACTGGTCAAACAACCATGATATTTCGTAATTATTATATATAGGATGTTCTTTTAAAAAAATAAATAGAAGAAAACTTACTGCTCCACTGAATGCTCATAAGTAAGAAATCTATCGGGACTAGTTTCAGCGCGCTACAAAGGATGTCCAAAATACTTAAATTTTCCAAAATTACTCTGTATAATGATGAGGAATTTCAGAGGAATTCCGAGGTGTCTCAAAACATTTTCGGTTACTTCGAGGAATTTCAGGGTATTACAGGAGATTTTCTGGAAATTTCGAGCATATGAGGGTATTGTTGCGGAATTTCTAAAAATTTTGGGAAAGTGCGGTGAATAAATTACTCGAAAAGCAAAAACTAACCAAAATTTTCGCGGCCCAATCACCATTTTAGTATACAGCCTCGTATTTTAAATATCATTTATCACGCTAGATTTATTAATACTATATTAATTATTAATTAATATATTAAACCACCTAAAATGGGCCACATTGTACACGACTTTACCCTCGGTGCCGCGTTTGTTGGCAAGGACGTATGGTATCTTGAAATGTATTCTGCTGAGTGGCGTATTGCTTTGACTTTGAGTCGTCAACCTCACGAGACGCAATCATTTTGCTTTCCGCGTTTTTTCATTAAAAATAAAATCGCTTTCCCCCGAACCCCGCGTATTTTAATTAAGCCGCATCACCTTAAGTCTAACGATATTGAGGCTCCAGAATACACGCGCTCCGTGTGCATATTCCAAACAGGAGCAATCTGATTATTCCCGAACCCTTGGGGCGTGCCTCTTCAAAACCCCCGTTGCCGTGGCGACGGTCGCTTAATGTCCCATTACTTCCCCCCTAGGCGAGCGATGCTGGCGTTCACTATTATAATATTTTAAAACAATAATTTTTCAAAAAAAAAAAACAGAAAAATACTCCGGGCTTCGGACGTCGCCCTGATGCGATAGAAAAAAAATGCTTCGCCGATGAGTGCTTTTCAACGGGAAATTTTGTGCGAGCGTCCGACAATCGTGGGTAACATCTGGCAGGGCGAAAAGGGCGCGACGCCATGGGGTGGGCGAAAAAGCGTCGAAATAAACCGGGAACATTTTATCTTCGCCGTAACGTAAATCGGAATTGCGTCAGGTCGATCTGCTGAGGGAATCGAACGGGAAAGCCACTTAAAGACGATGAAATTTTCAAATCAAATTCCCAACCGCTGGGAGGTCCATTTTCAGGATTCTAGTTGCGATGCATAACTACACCGTGACTTAGAAATTATAACGCCCAGTATTTGAGT